ACCAAGCGTGCGTGTCGGTTGGTGCTTGGGTCTTGCACCCCTTCTGCTACCAGAGTGCCTGGCAGCGTGCATCACCCAGGCAAGATCACCGCTGCTGTCCTGCTAATCATCTTGTCCCTTTGTATACTCACCCGGTCAGGTCTTGTTTGAGCCCAGCACCACACCTGAATGCAGTGTGCCGCTGGGAGGATAACTCACCCATCATGACAGCACGGCTGAGCAGAGAGCAGGAACCCAGGGGTGCACCCTCCCATGCCGAGCTTTCCACGGTGACTTTATAGGCACTGCACACACCCACTTGTGTGCACACTTGTTATTTGTAGAGGCACAAGGAGGCACTTGCAGATTGTGATTCGAGCTGTTTTCAGATCCCATGACAGCACAGCTAAACCCCCTGAGGGGAGGGAGGCATGCCCTTCCACCTAGAGAAGTACAAAATAATCCCCTCCATGATGAGGGATTTCAATTATTGACTCTCCCAGCTACACAAACACTACATGTGAATGGCCCACTTGGAGCAAATTCTGAAAATGATCAAACTGAAGTGGAGAGACCTAGCTTTTTAAGGACATACACACAGAAACTAGCAAAGGAGGAGGAATTAGGTCTCCCATGTGCCCAGTCCCAAAGGTGACCTTGGAAAGATGAGGACGGGTCCTCAAGAAGCGTGCCTGCTTGCTAACTCTCCACTGGCAGGTTTCAGGATCAATGAGTTAAGTCATTGGGCTGGAACCAGTGTCCAGCAGCCAGAAGTCACTGTATACACAGCGTCCCCGGGCACCCCAATCTGTGTGCCCTGAGTAAAGGGCAAGGGCTTCAGGTAACAAACAGGTGCCTGTGGGTCCCTTTGCCGCTCTCCTTCCAAATCCCTGCCTTTGGCCTGGTGAGACCCTGTGGATCACCCCCCAGCCCCAGAAATGTTGACCAGGAACTGGTTGTTCCTTCTACAGGAACAAAATGCTCTCAGGACAGGTTGTTTGGGAAGGCTGTTCTTCACACCAGAAGGTGCACACAGCTCCATCACTTTGTCAAGCCAATTTTAAGAAGATAAAGATGTGGCCCTTCCACGTTCTTCTGGGTTGGTTTCAGTAGCCTACTGACCAGATGTCTTCATAGCACAGCTTTAAACATGGTGTTCACAGCAAGACAATGTCAAGCTGAGGCTCCCACCAAGAATTTCCATACTGCAGGAGCCCACATCAAGCAGTGCAACTTGGAGGTCTGGATGGACAGCAGCACCCAGACCTCTCTGCGGTAAGGGATTCCAGGATCAACTTCCATTTGAACCCTTAGATCTCAGCCCCGCTTGTTTGGTTAGAGGTTGGGAGCCCTTGTCCACAGCCTCATTTAGTTTGGGAGAATCATAAAAGCAGCATGCCCAAGAGGGAGAAGGACCCAAGCTGCCCTGGGAAGAAGGATGCTGGGTAGAGGGGCCATGTCCGCTTTCTGTGGGAGCAGGGGAAGTGGGTGACTTAGGTGCTCCCATGGGCTGCGCCTGGAGCTAATTGCGCTGAGCTATGCAACATCTTGGGGTGTGGTGGGGTGCCTGTGCCAGCGCTGGCAGCAGGCTGCTGCTGGTGAGCCACCACTGGGATCACTGCTGGCAACAAGGCTGCCAGATGCAGCAGGAACTGGGGTCCCACAGGTCAGGGAGAGGAAGTCCTCCTCTGCCTCTCTGTACAGCAGGCTCCACTGGGCTGCTCTGAATAGATGCAAATGGTATTTCCTTCACAGAAACTGTGTCAACAGGACAGCTTACCTACAGTCTAGCAGAGACCCCAGCGTTGACTTTAGCTCAAGCATTCCAGTGGATGGTGCCTTCAAAGTTATCAAACAAAGTTTTTCTAAATCATACTGACGTGGGACCTCTTTCTAAGGCAGCTGCAAAAGGACCTCTGAGCAGATACAGGTTGGAAGCAGAGCTGAGGACAACAACCAGTGGTTGCACTCCAGAAAGGCAGAGCAGAAGGCACCATGCAGGACTCAAGGGAAGAGAACGAAGGTGTGAGCAAGCTCTCTGGGAGCAGCAAAGGCTGGCTACTCCCCACAGGCAGGCAAGTCAGAAGCCAAGGGTGCACCCTGAGGAGGCAATGCCCTTGATGGTGGGGGTCCATCCTGCCAGGTCTGAGCACAGCAGGCAAAGCTGAGTGTTGGCAACAGCTCCAGGCAAGGCAAGCAGTGAACCAGGTCCAAGATCCTGGACAAAAGGCCACAGTGCAAAAGGCAGGGTTGGAGATAAGCTACAACACGGCTCTGAGTGGTCCATCCAGGAGATACACTATTTACAGTATAAGTCTAAGATCCATCCAGAACACAAAGCCAGAGAGGGGACTGGAAACCAGTACACATACAGTGTGGCTCAGGTTAGGACTGAATGCCCAGGGCCGAGCTGAAACAGGCCTTATGGGCCCAGGTGAAGGTCCCAGGTGGGACTGGTCACCAGCCATTAAGGCCTACTGGTGCACTCAGGGCCATGACAGTAGCAGTTGATCCTGAAAGAACAAGTCACGCCGCCTTGGCTGGCTGTGCAGGTCTGTTGTGCTCCACAGGCCATCAGGCTTTTGCTGTAGCTCTTTGGGCTGACAAAGTGCCTTCTCAAGGCATGTTCTACCATGGCCAGCTCTGCATCTTGCACAAGGCTTGGCACCGTGGCTGTGCTCCTGCAGAAATACGGAGGCACAAGAGCTGAGGAAGGGGCTCTTCGGAGAACTGGAGAAACACAGGGTAACTGAGACCAGGAGGTCCTCCAAATATCTCTGGTTTGATCTCCTGGCCAATGCAAGGACAACTTAGAATGGATTGCTTAGGGTCATGTCTGGGTCAGTTGTGGATATGTCAAGGAATGGAGGTCCCGTAAATTCTCTCTCTTTTTTTTTTTTTTTATTTACTTTCAGTCTTTGAACACCCTTTCAGGCTGACATTTTTTAAATCTAATTCTAATTTCCCTCCCTTCCTTATATCTGTTGCCTCTCATCCTATCCCTGTGCAACTGCAAGGAGAATCACAGGGTGATAGAATAATTTAGGTTGGGAGGGACCTCTGGAGGCCATCTAGACTGACCCCTGCTCAAAGCAGATCTAAAAAATCTGGTCCTTGTCCAGTCAAGTCTTGAACATCTCCAAGGACAGAAATCCCACAGCCTCTCTCCGGACACCTGTTCCAGTATTTGACCAACCTTATGTTAAAAAAAGTCCCTATTTCTAACTGGAATTTCCATGTTCCAACTCAGATCCATTGCTTCTCAACCCACCACCATGCACCTCCTTGAACAGTCTGGCTCCATGTTCTCTGTATCCTCCCATGATGCAGTTGTAGTCAGCAATAAGACCTCCCCATTGCCGGCTCTTCTCCAGGTGAAACAAGCCCCGTTCTCTCATAATCTCCTGACGTATCGTGAGCTCTAGGGCCCTGACCTGTCTGGTGGCCTCTGCTGGACTGCTCCAGTCTGTCAAAATGTTTCTTGTAATGAGGAGTCCAAAACAAGACACAGTGCTCTGTGGAGCCTGACACCATCTGCTCTCCATCCTCCCACCAGGTTGCTGTAGGCAGCATCTCAGCCCTCCCTTCTCCTGGATGAACAAGCCCATCGTTCTCAGCCTGTCCCTGTATGTCCTGTGCTCCTGGACTGTCTTGGCGGTCTTAGCTGGACTCCTTCTGGAGTTTTAGTCACTCTTGTGCACGGGGAAGCCCCACACAGGACACAGCACTCCATCTGTCCCCTCACACGTGGAAGTGAACAATCCCTTCCCTCATCCTCCTGGCTGCATTTTCCCCGAGGCAGCCCAGGATGCGGCCCTAAACAGATCTGTGCCACAACTTTCAATATCAAACATATACTGGGCAGGAGCTGGGCCCCAGGACACAGCTGGGGTTTCAGAGAAATCCCCTCTATGGCCTTCCCCCTGCCTGCTTTGTGCATCCTAACCCAAACACCAGCCACAGCCTCTTGGAAAAGCTGGCTGGGGACTGGAAGCTGTTGGTGAAGCTCTGTGGAGGTTTGCTGCCTGCCTTTGCTTGCATCTGCTGTTGAGCAGCAGCAGCAGCGCAGCAGGGGGTGTGCAGGGAGGCCTCCATGACCACGCTGCAAGCGATCAGCCTGTGACAAAAGCCCAGCCTGCTCCTCCACAGGTTCTGGCCATCTTATGCTGTCCAAAGGTGGATGCTGGGGTACTGGAGTCCTCCTAACTCAGAATACTGTGGGTGTCAATCCCTGGGAAAAGGAAGGTCTGGCATTTTCTGTAAGAAATCCGCAGTACAAGCACTCCTAGTAGCAGAGAGGGGCTTGAAGTGAGACCATTTTACATCAGTGTCACGTCACGGTTCCCAAAACTCCCTTGTGACTCCTGCAAGGGCGGCGGTGTGGGGAGAGACCACAGCGCACGTTGTGCAAGAGGCAGCGCGGTGGTGGCAGGCCAGGCACGTCAGGAGGCACCTGGAGTGGCACTTTCTGACGTTCGGTGCACAATTTGCCAGGAACATTAGAGTACCTCTTCCCTGAAGGGCCCAATGGGGTCCCCGCTGGCTGTTGGGCTCGATGCCTGCACTGGAGAGAGTGATTTACACCTGGTGTTTAATTTCCATCCAGGAGTGAGAATATCATCTGGATATTTACTTACGAGTTGAAACGCACAGAGGTGCCCAGAGGGTGCCGTTCCCTAGGGAAACCCTGCCAGGGCAGGGGGGCAGTCAGGCGCTGTAAATCGCGGTTGTTTCAAGGCATTCGCTTATTGGCACCAAAATATTTGCTTTGCCTCTGGAGAAAGCTCTTCACTTTTGTGAGACACAGCCTCCATTGCCTGAGGACATATCACTTAATGATGAAGAGCAAATAAGCCGTAAACCACTAGTCCTGTGGCCAACCAGAGGACAAGTGCGGTGGTTTGGGTCTCGTGCCTCCACCCCCTCACCTGCTGAGCCCTATAACTTTCTGGCTGGACACTCCTCTAGCCAGCCCCAAAACTGCTCGGCTTCCAGCTCCACAGGGTCCCTGCAGAGACGGCATGGGTGAGTGTGGGATGGGATGGGATGGGATGGGACGGGATGGGACGGCACTGCTGCGTGTGGCTGTGGGTCACAGGGCATCCCAGCACTTTGTCTTCTGCAGGGCTCCCTTCTCCCCACATCCCAGCCATCTCAGCACTAAGTCTACTGCATTGCCTGGGCTTGCTGTGCCCTGGGCTGGGAACTACAGCAAGAGTCTGTGTGTTCTGCTATTTTCAGACTGTATCAGTGCAGCCCTGGTGTGCCAGATAGCCCATTTCACAAGCCTCATATTTACCAAACATGCTTTGTAATCTTCAGTTCTCCAAGGAAAGTATTAAATACCCTAGAATAGAAAATGGATTTTTTAGATATTCTTGCTTAAGGAGCAGTATTGAACAGGTATCAAGACCGGGAGGTTAGATGCTCAAAAGCACACTGCTGTCCCCAGAAGAACACCCAGGAGAGGCTGATCCTCTCCGCTGCATCTCCTTCCTACCCAGACCTTTCATGACCATGCATGGGGGAATGGGCCAGCAGTGGAGAGAGCATCGCTTCCCTGGTGGCCTAAGGATATCTTTAAACTTGCCTCTACACACAAGTGTGTCAAGACACTAAATGTTATGTAGGAGTTGAGAAGCAAATCAGTCGGACTGAAGTGTGTTTAAAAGACCTTTGCTGAAAAACTGCAACCAGCACAAATGATCGGGACAGCTCTGAGCGTTCCCAGAGAGGGGAGCTCCTCTCTAGGGTGGCTGCAGTCACACACAGCGGTTCCAGGCCGGCGTCATGGATTGTCTTCCTTTTTAGTTATCTCAGGGAATGGTGCCAAACCCAGGTATCACAGGGCAGTGCAATAGGTGTGGCTCTTTCGAACACTGGAGGGATCACACTGGTAATCTGCCAGGGTGAGCTACACCTATCGTATCACAAACAGATTTCCCCACGGGCAGGTGTCTCCGCAATGCCCCGCTCTCTAGGAATCGTGATAAACTTTCTATTATTTTGGTTCGATTTAATATTGCAAAAAGTGTGCTGGTTTCCCCAGCTGCTCTGAACATGACTAAACCAGAGCAGCTGGCTACATAGGGAAATTTTGAAGTAGCCACATAACCATACAAAGGACGTAATTTACACCAGCCAGGCAGTAATTTCTGAGGGTTTGTGCTGCCCCTCTCAGCCATGCTGCTTTCTTGCTGAGCAAATACAGATGGCCCTGCCTGGGGCTTGTTCCCACCCAGACATCTCGGTTCCTGCTGCCCACAAAGGCCCAGCTTACACCATGGGAGTGTGTCATGGGAGTGTGATGGGAGCTGGGAGGAAGAGGGATTCCTCTCTCCATGCTTGCTATCTCCAGCCCCGAGACTTGGGTTTTACAGGGGTTTCTGATTACAGTCACTTCAGGTTTGGACAAGGTTTTCACACTTCTTCTGTCTCAAAACCCACCAAGAGCAGGTGCCACCGCTAACGACTCCTGCCAATGAGTATGTGCCAGCTCATCTAAATGAGTGAATCAGGGCTTACAGCTCCAAGAGGGAGCTCTACACACAAAGAATTTTATTCTCCTATTTTACTCTGCAAGTAAAAGTCAAATGGGATTCATGGCTCTCTAATGGAAGAGTTATGATGTCTTTCTTCTTTTTCCAATCTCTTCCCATTTCAGCTGCGCAGCACCTTTGTCTCCTGCTTTTCACCTGCCTGCTGGCCCTGGCAGCATCCCTTCCTGCCTTTGACATAAAAAACATGTATCTCTTCAACGGCACGCTGGATGAAATTATGAATGTTCCCCCAGAGTACTCCCAGCCGGGTAAGTACACCACTACAATAGGGAGAGGCAAAGGTGATGTTCAGTCAGATCCTACTCAGACACCTCCTCACCAGCCTAACCACATCCCTGTAACACAGAGGAAGGACTAAACACTGCTCTATGTGTGGGCAATGTCAGTGCAATGTAGGCTGTCTTACTGGAACAAGAACCACCTCAGAGTCCTGCTCTAATTGCTGCCTGTCTCTTCTGTCTGGCATGAAGTTCTTCTGTCCACAAGTGAGTCCAGTAGTCCAAAGCCCCAAGTTCACAGCGTCCCAGGACAAGGCACAGGGTCAGTCTCACTGGCAGCAAGATCAAGCCGAGGGTGTTTTGGGCCATGGAGAAGCGGCGTTAAAGATGTTGAGGCAAAAAATCACAGTGTGTTTTGAGGACACGGAGAACAGTAGCCACCTCTGGAAATCACAAGGTCAGTGGAGAACTGAATTCACGAGTGAAGTGAAATCAAAGAGGAACTAAATGAAGTTAATACAGAATCTAAGCAGTGGCACTGACACAGAGCAATCAGCCAGATAATGGCACACAGCAGCCTGCAGATACCAGAGTATATTGGAGCAATGAGGAAGGCTCCAAGAAATGCTCCTGGAATAAAACTGGGGGTTGTGGGTGGGATGTGACATGACAGAAGGAGCTGTTTCCCTTCCAAGGGAGGAGGAAGAGTTCTTGGCAGAAGAGCTCAAGGTCCAAGTGTTCGATGCTGGTTTCACATCAGCCTTCACTGAAAAGGTCAGCTGTCAGGAAACTGCCAACACAGGGAGCACCCATGACTAAGACAAGAGCTTGGGCTTCACCAGAACTGCAAGTCTGAGTAGAGAATCACAGAATCACAGGATCAATCACAGAACGTTAGGGGTTGGAAGGGACCTCGAAAGGTCATCGAGTCCAATCCCCCTGCCAGAGAAGGGCTGTATGCTCTGGGCTTCACACTCATCTCTTGCCCAGACCACTGGTAGGGTGCTCTGAAAACACGAGCAGCATGAATGCAAGATGGGTAAGCAGGGAGGCAGGCCAGAGAAGAGAGTCTAACATTGGAAAGTCTTGGCTTGTGGAGGAGTGCTTCCAAACAGATGGGAAGTGAAAGCAGAAAGGAGCAGGGGCAGACTGTAGCTTACAAAATGAACATGAGTGAATAGCTTCATATGGCTGTAGTAAAAGTAAATACCATCGTAGGGAAGTCCTCTAGACCATGTTACATGAGTGTTTCCTACTCCGCACAGGCTTGGGCCAACCATCACATTCACTGGAGGGCTTTGAAACACCTTTGGAGAGAGTCAAAAGGAAAGGTGTCAAAAATCTGTCAGGCAGACTGTCAGTGAAGGCTGAAGAACTGAATGGTTTAGTCCCAAAATCAGAAGACCACGGAGGAGGAAGTGATAGCACTGTTACCATGTGCAGGGAAAAGCGTACTCCGGGTGTAGTAAGAGAAGGAATGGGCTTACAGACAGTGCAAGAGGCTTAAGTTAAACACTTTGTCAGGGAGGGAATAGGAAAGCAGCAGCTGAGAATGAAAGCAGGGAGCGGGTATTTGAGGATGTTGGAGAGCAGCGGCTGCAGGGTTAGGTGTCTGTTTCAGAAAGGGGACAGGAATGGCTTGTGTGATTCCATAAGCCTGTGATTCATTCCTCTGTTTTGTAGCCAACAGTCAATACACAGAAGATGTCCTTGCACAACAATTGCATTAATTCACTCTGAACCTTCCTCTCTTCCAGCAACACCCTTCAAACTCCCTTCTGACCCAACTGAGCAGAGCCCTTCTCCCAGCTCCTGATACTTGCACCAGTTTTCCTGTGTCTGCTCTCACGTTTCTTCCCCCTCTAATCCCTCTTCTTCCTCAGTCCTTTCCTAATTTGCTCTTACTGCACTTTAACAACCATTTTTCCAGTGTTATCACTACCATTTGGTGCCTTTCCCCGACACAAATCCTTCGCACCGAGGAAGCATCTGCCCCATTCTACCACGTAAATCACCCCAAACTACCAGCTGGCTGATATCTGAAATGGTAAAGTGCCTCTGGAGTTAAAAGCAACAATGGAAAAATAGCAATATCATCTGGAGAAGATCATTCTCTCCCAGCAGGCATTTGACATGTTTGCTCTCAACACTCACTTCTGTCTCCTCTGTTCTTGTTAATTCAGGTAATGGCAGCAAACATGTTCGACAGGTCAGAGACATTGCCCCCCACCCTCTGGCAGGCCACGGTAAGTCTCTTCTCAGGGAGTGCATCTGCTTATAAGGTTTCACCATTACTGGTCTCATGAAGAGGTCTCAGCCACCTTAGCCCGTGTCCTACATGTGCACTGGCTCCTCACAAGAAAAATGTTGATTTTCTAATAGGCAACAGAGGTGCCACAGCTCGTAACCTCACGGGGACTTTATTACCAGCCGTGTCCTGGACTCAGTAGTTGATGAGGATCTGCAGCGTGGGGAGTTTTCCACCTAAGATCCAAACTGGAAAGTGATGATTCATTATTGGCCTTTGGGAAGTGGTGTTTGGCTATTTTCCTATTTTCATTATACTGTTGATGAGAAGAGCGGGTAAGACAGGGACTGACTGAGTTAGTGAACTGACTGAGTCAACAGTAGCCCATAGGACTAGAAGACAGATCCTATCTGGAGAGGAATGACCAGTAGCAGAGGTACTGGGAGTGGAGCAAATCCCTTCCCAGAAGTGTGTAGGTGCATTCAGCTGTTTGTTGTATAAGGTGCTGATACTCTGGAGCATGGAAGGGCCATAACCAAATCAAACAAGTCAGGAAGTCTCTAAAGAGCTCCTCGGGTAAGCCCCAAGAGAACTGATGGATTTGCCCTATTGAGATCACAAGGGCTGATTTAATTATTAGCAATACAGATGTCGCGATCACATTCTGTCCAGGGTTTCTGAGATGACTATAAAGCTCTAAAGCCTCCATCCTGTACAGGAAACGGCTTTATAACCCAGGGTTTAATTTGTCTGTGTGGTGATACAACACCTCCATGCTACAGGCAAATCACCACAGCACGGCAAGACTGAATCCACCCTGGGCTAGGGTGCGTCGCATGCTGGCGAAGGCAATGTCTGGCTTGGTCTCACCAGGCCAAGATATTTTGGCAGTGTGTCCCCATCAGTTTGAATCCTATCTTGAGAAGATATGAAGCCCAACACTTACATTGATCATTTCAAGGTTTGCATTTACTTCTCTGAGCACATGGCAGGAATAGAGCCCTACAAATGTGTGTGCAAGAGGATATAGGCCCAAAAGAAATGTCAGGTGCTTTCAGTGTCTCATTGTGTGGGATTTAATGACCATCTCTGTTTGCTGCCCCAGGTTGGCCCAAGGACTGCAGCGAGATGCCCCATGGCAGCCGCAGTGGTGTCTACATCATCCAGCCGAAAGGGCTGCACCACCTCGTGGTGTACTGTGAAATGAACGTGACAAACGGGGGCTGGACGGTCATCCAGCGGAACCAGAAAGACACGCCAGTCACCTGGGCTGAGTCCTGGAGCACCTACAAGTACGGCTTTGGGAGTGTGCGCGGCGAGTACTGGCTGGGCACCGAGTACATCCATCAGATCGCCAAGCAGAAGGTCTACCAGGTCAGGTTTGTCATCCAAGACTCCACAGACAACATCAATTTCGCAGACTACAACCTCTTCAGCGTGGAAGATGAGTCCCACGGCTACCGGCTGAGGCTGGGAGCATACTCAGGGACGGCAGGGGATGCCATGACCTCAGACAACCCCAACACCATGCATGACAACATGAAGTTCTCCACAAAGGATCGGGATCAGGACACTTACAGTAAGAACTGTGCCTACAGCTATGAGGGTGGGTGGTGGTACTCGGCATGTTATTCTGTGCGGCTGAATTTCAAGGGCGGCATGACATGGGGCAGCCTGTGCAAAGGGAACTGCAAATCCTCCCTTGTCCTCATCAAACCAGCTTCGTATTGTTAGTGCTTCTCCCCCCCTCCTGTCCGCACTGGACACTCTGCAAAGGCTCGGCATGGCCAAAGAGCTTGAGCCTTTCTGGAGCAGAGAGAGGAGCCCAAGGGTAGCAGGGTTTTAGTGAAATGCCACTTTCCAATTCCCCTCTCTGAGTGCAGGCTCCCCCTCTGCTCAGCTCTTTTCCCCTGTGCTTGCCAATGATTCCTTGTTATTATGTTCATAATCAAGAATAAAAAAATCATTTGTGAAATTTGTGGATTCCATATGTACCTTCCCTCTGGGAGGAAGACACTCAGCCCTAGAATGATTTTTCATCAGAGCTTCTTAGCTGCCTCCAGAACTCACAGCAAGGGTCAAAACAGCTACATGCCACAAATTTTCGTATACTCTGTGCCTCTCTGCGGTGTCTGGCAAAGCATCCCAATAAATTTGCTTCTTGAGCTCATTCTCCATTAAAGAATGTCTGTTCTGTATCTCTGATGTGCTCCCAATGAGACCCAAGGAATCCCATGTCACATGCCAGGTCTGGAGTCTTGGCGCTTGTGGAGGGGAAAAAGCCTTGAGTGGTTCCCACAGGAATGGACGTAAGAAAATTAAACTTAGTTACGCTGAGACAGAGGACCTGTGACCTGCACGGGAAGGTTCAGAAGGGCCCTGTCATGTGGGAGAACTCCTCCCACATCATCATCCCATTCACAGTCCAGGGACAAAAGCTGTGGGGCAATGTCCTAGTGCCAAGGTCCTGCTCCTGCTAGGAGGCTGCTGCCTCTGTCAGGAATTGCTCCTCGCTACCTGTCTGTCTGCACAGTCATGCTTTGATCCTGCGGAAACGTGATTTCGAAGTCATCAGTAGATCTGCCTGCTGTGACTGAGAAGCAGCAAACTTAAATGGCAGCAAAAGAGAAGGAGGTTAGGTGTTGGGAAGCATCTGAATTAGGAGACATGAACAAGGGAAGAGGTCGTTACAGAAATGGGCTCACTGTGTCCAAGTTTCTGAGAACAATTTAGATGAACCTTTGCCAGGAAAAGTGCAGACAGTGCAGGACAAGCACCTCCATCCCACAACACTCTGGCACTGCCAGGACAGACAGTTTGAGAAGCACTTGCACCTTCACAAACCGTTTCTGGCTTTGTTTTGGGGCAGCATGGCAACAGCAGCTTTCAGAACCAAGGGCTAAGGGAAAACCCAGCCCTCGCCTGCCAGCTGGAGAGCCCAGTGCCCACTGGGAGCCATCCAGAAAGGTTTGAGAAATTAGAAAATACTGAAAGAAATGAGCAGTGGAGGATCTCGGAGCCAGAAAGTATCTTACGCTGCACCAGGGGCACAAGATAGTAGCAGCGGGTAGGGGATAGCTGCCAGGAAAGGTGCCCTCACCCCACCCCTGGTCCCCCACGCGTGGATTTGGCTTCCAAAGTCAGCAGGTTCGGTGACATCAGGTGGCACTGGGCAGACAGTGAGATGACACTGCTGCTGCTCGTGGGCCTCTGGGGTTTCCGAGCGACAGGCAAAACTGGAGTTTCATTTGCGCTGCCCGACGAAGGATTCTCGTCCCAGCAGTGATGGCTTCTGCCAGGGCTCTCCAAAGGCAGCGGAGAGACACGGGCCAGCAGATGCAGGACAGCATCGCAAATCATCCATTGGAAGAGTCGGTGGGCAGGATTCACCAACATGTTTATCCGGC